ATCTGGTCTTTGGCCTTAGTGTTCCATGTATCAAATCTGTTTATTAGATGATTCTGTGAAAATCTGAAATTCTGTTCTGCCTGCTCCCTGATGCAAACATCAGGATTCCTCTGTAAAACCTTTTGGTTGTTCTGTGGCAGCTTATGCGTGGCTATGATGTGTGCAGTTATGCCACCGGTATTTTAAATACCAGCAGGGTCATGCATGGTCATGCATGGTAGAGATAGCTTACAGAAGAGGCCCACTTTGGAATGGCTCACCACTGAAAACCCTGCTAGTAATAGCAGAACATTACCTGTACCTGAAGTAGTGGCAGAAGATGAGCCCCTCAGTTGGAAGAGGTTGGAAGGTAATAAAATACGACTGGGAAAGAGCTGCCTTCTCAAAGGTCAGTTAACCCCTTCATGATGTGGATGGAGCAAAGCTTTCAATTGCTGGTGGGGCACAACTCAAATTGAGAAGAAACAGCTACTTAAATCAGACTGTGGACTGTATGAAGTGTATTAATCTAGAAAAATTGAAAGTGATCAAAAATTAAACACATAAAGAACAATCAACTAGACATTAGTGAGCTGAAAGGGAGGGACTGTATTTATCGGTCATTTTGAGTTGGACGCTCATATGGTTTGCTACTCCAGGAACAACAGAAAGGAGTGGCATAGCATTTATTAAAGAACATTTCAAGTACAGTTGTTGTTGTTGTTAAGTGCCGTCAAGTCGGTTCTGACCCATAGCGACCCCGTGTAGGGTTTCCGAGGAACAGCCGGTGAGCTTGAACCGCCAACCTTGCAGTTCAAACAGCTTTGCAGTCTGGCACATTAACCCACAGAGCCATACCAGTCAAGTACAGTACTGTCTGTAATATCCATACAAGGAAAAGAAGTTGACATTTATACTTAGACATTTAAGAGGTAGCACATGATCAAGAACCTATGGTATTGAAGGAAAAAGTCAAATCTGCACTGAAGGCATTGGCAAAATACAAGGCTACAGGAATTGATAAAATACAAAGGGAAATGGTTCAATCAACTAACGTTGTACTGGAGTCCCTCACTTATCGATGCCAAGCACAATTGGGAGTGCAGTTTCCTGGCCAAATAATTAGAAGAAATACATATTTATGCTCAGTCCAAAAAAGGTGACCCAATGGAATGTGGAAATCATTGCGTATTATCACTGTGGAAATTACTGAACAATATCATTAATAACACACCTGCAGGTAAGATTGTGGTGAGGATAGTACAGCATTAAATCAATGGGAGTTGTTAGAAATTCAAGCTTCAGAAGAGAACATGGAACTAATCTGGAACTAGTGGTCTCATTACTGACGTCAGATGGATCTTGGTTGATAGCAGAAAATACCAGAAAGATGTTTGCTTGTGCTTTATTGACTATGCAAAAGCATCCGACTGTGTGGATCATAACTAACTATGGATAACATTGTTGCAAGAAAGGGAATTCCAGATATCTAACTGTGCTCATGAGGAACCTGTACATGGCTAAGAGGCCATACTTTATTCAATTTGTATGCTGAATAAATAATCCAAAAAGATAGATTATATGAAGAAGAATGTGGCATCAGGGTAACAACCTGCGATCTGCAGATGGTGCAACTTGCTTGCTGAAAGCCAAGAGGCCTTAAAATCCATACTACAGCCTTCAGTATGGATTGCACCTGAATGTAAAGAAAACGAATCAACATTCATGGAAGCAGCCGTCAAAATAAATAAATAAAACGATGTATTGCATTAGGCAAATCTGCTGCAACAGACCTCTTTTTTCAGTGTTAAAGAGAAAAGATGTCACTTTTAGGACTCAGAAGGACCCGAACCAAGTCATGGTATTTTCAATTGGCTCATATGTACATGAAAGCTGAACAATGAATAAAGATGACCATGGAAGAATTGATGCATTTTAATTATGGTATTTGACTGAGAATATTGAAAAGTACTGTGGACTACCAGAAGAACAAATAAATCTGTCCTGGAATTAGTACAGCCAGAGTACATTTCAGAAGCAAGGATGGTTAGTCTCTCATACTTCACACACACAGTAGTCATGAAATGGGACTTCATGTTTGGTAAACCCCTCAGCGAGATGGATTGACAGTGGCAATAACAATGGACTTGGGCATGGTAACTATGGTGATGACAGCACAGGACTAGGTGATGTTTGGTTCTGTTGTTACATGTACATTTCTGATTCGCTGTGAATCAGAAATTAAAGACTCAATTCAACGGCACCTAACAACAAAGCACACAATATGGAGCGCACACAATAGCACCACCTGTGTGTGTGTGTGTGGGGGGGGGGGGGGGGGGGGGGGGGGGGGGGGGTTGGCAAGTGCCATCGAGTCAGTTCTAACCCACAGCAACCATGAGGAGCAGCTGATAAGCTTGAACCATTGACCTTGTGGTTGAAACTGACTTTGCAGTCCAGTGCATTAAATCCACAATGCCAGTTTCATCCATGCAGATACCACTCCAGAAGCCCTGGCTATGGCGCTCTAGGATAGCACTGGATTGTTACCTGCAAGGTTGACAGTTCAAATCTATGAGCCACTCCTCAGAAAATGCTATAGATGTACAGGTTCGCTATTCATCAGAACCAACAGTAACAGCTATTCCAATGCCTAGGTTTCCAGCCCATGTTGACACTACAGTCATACTTTGATCCAGAGGCAGGGCTGGCAGTGGGGTGGGAGGAGGCCTTTTTCACCGTCATCCTTCCTTCCTAACCACATGGTCTTTTCAGCACGGGCACAGTCATCTCTATGGCCCAGAGCCCTGCGGCAGCTACCCTTCTAGTCACAGCTCTGTTTGCTGAGTACTGAAACTAAGCTAACCATGAATTTTAATAAGTTCATGTACAAACAATTAGCCATCCTAACATCAACAGAATCAACATGAATGAATTAAGCTACTACAATAAAGGAGCTGTCCAAAACCCCTGAGGACGACAAAAGAGGCCACAGGCAGAAACTGAGATGCTCTGCAGTATTCAGTCTGAGGAGGACTAGTGTTGGGATGAATATCCCTAAAGCACAGCCTGAAAGGGACTGTGAGTCTTACCATAGTTTATGTCTTTCAGGGAAACTGGATCATGAAAGAGACAGACTAGACTGGGGAGGGTTGGGAGGATGCTGGATGTACTGCTTTGTTTCTTGAACCCGGTAAGTTATTGCATTTCAAACTGATTAGGAGACAAAGCAGCACCAGTGGGGCCCTCTTTTAGGGCCTGGCAGAAGGGTAAAGTGCCCTGAAAACCTCAACGCAGACACTAACCCCTAACTGCACTTTTGCCATGACCCACATGCACTTGCATGCATCCAGTAAACCAGTAACATCCAGTACCTCCAGGCATCCAGTAAGCACCAACATTAATTTATAGCTAAAAGTATCTGCAGTCCAGGAGCCGGACCATCAAGGGAGAATAGCGGAGAGCGGGACCCTATCCAGAGAAACAGTGACGCCAGAGATGGAGGCAGAGACGATGACGTGGAGAGATGGTGCAGCTGGGGACTTTAGACCCAGAGCGGAAGCGGGGTATGCTGACAACCCAGGGCAGGCTTGCAGGGTATATACCCTTTGGTTGGTTGATGATACATGGAGGGGACTGTAACCATGGCAATGAAATGATACATGATAGGATGAATGTAAAGCTAATGTTTTCCCATGTAAACTATCACATAATCCACTTTATTGTAAATATGGATCTAAGAGCTCAATTAAAAAAAAAAAAAAAAAACAACCACCCTTTAAGTCTCTCTGCTTCAATCTTTGGGCTCAAAGCATTTCTCATCCAGCTAGCTCACAAGGTGAAAGTGGCCATAGCTGAAGGTGGGCTGTCTCCTCCGGTCTTCTCTTCTACACGTCAGGGGGCCGTTCCCACGAGCAACACCCCTTCCAGTACGGGGAGCAACTCCTGTGACTCCATCAGATCACAGTGAGCTAGTGGGAATGAATGGGGATTTTGCATTGTGGCTACTATGCTTTGTAAGAAAGCCCTTTATCTGATAGGCACGCACATACACACAGGTATCTGTAGGAGAAAGCTACATAGGAGAAGATAAATTTAACAAGATGGACCAAGTGTTGGCAGTTCTTGGAAGTGGGTTGATAGGGGACCCACAGGACAAATCACAGCTCCTTCCCACTTCCAAACTTCCCACTTCCACTGCCTTCTCTTGGATGAGGATGCAGAGCAGACTTTGGGTCATGGTGCCTTTTACTGAGATGGGCCTACTGACCTTTGCTGAGTCCACGTGGGATTCACCTGCCCAGACCATCCTGGGGCTTTCCTCTCAGGATGGTAGTGCCCGATGCATGGGGCATATACAGTACAGACAAAACAAGAGCTTCTAACTCCATTGGAATCTGCATTCCTAATGGAACATTCTCCGTGCTGTCTGGGAACACTGCAGAGCACCTGTCTAGTACAAAAGACCACATGGAAACAGGGTCAGAAAGCAGCCAGCAGCCATCTTGAGGCCTTCACAGTCCACGTGCCAAGACACGTGGCAAGGGAGGTGCCAGGGAGGAAGCAGTTAGAAGGACGGGCAAAAGAAGTCCCGGGGTAAAAGAAGGCACACCCAGGGAGCAGCAAGCAAAGAGTCAAGGTGAGAGCAGAAATGGGGGCACAGCACTCATGCCGAGCAGCATGCCACATGGTCCCCGAGCCTGGACTTGACCCGTCTGTCCAAAAACAGCCAACACTTCTGGGGAGCCCACCACACAAGTGGCCAGAAACATGCTCAGCTCCGTGCTGGGACCTCCAGCCACAGCTTACGCTTTTATAAGACTTCAGTGTGGCTGCAAGTCGACAACCCTGTTATCTAAAGCTGACCTTGCGGCCCCCCTAAAGGAAACAGGCTGCTGATCACTGCCCTGCACCCACTTAGCCGCGCTCCTGAGCCCCTCTGGCTATGAGAGCAGGCTGTGATTCTGCTGGGCCTCCCTACAGACTAACGCACCCCAAGTTGAGACAAGCGTGAGTCTTACCTTTTTCCCAGTTTGTTTCTCCACCATGTCGTTGCTGAGAGGAGATTCTTCTGCCTGTGGTGTTTTAGAACACCCACCCTTGGGCATCGTTCTGCTCCCTCACGTGATCTTCATTTACACCGCCGTCGTCTCGTCATCGTCGACCGCTGTATCCAGAGAAGACACAGATTAGTCATCCGCCACACTCAAGGAGAAGACACAAAGCTGTGTAAAACTAGGAACTAAAGGAGTTCCTGGGCACAGGGAGGACATGCTAAGTGCATAACCCAGAAGGGTAACACCTATTACAAGGTTGTTAGGAGTCAGAACTGACTGAACGGCACCGAACAACCACAGTAATGTAATAGGCTCTCCAGCCGTCTGGCCAGCCTCAGGACCAAGAGCTCAGTCCATAAACAGGCCACGCCCCAGGACTGATCCCAGCCAGCTCTGGCCACTGTTTTGCAGGGTCAGGGACCATACTTGCTTTGTGGCTGCCTTCCACTCCTTGATAAGCAAGGCCATTCAGCCTGAGCCGTGTTCCTGGTCATTGGTTAAAGCACCCACTCACAGAAGTCCAAGACTAGACCATTCAGCTATCTGAAACATGACACGCTCCCGATAAATATTTGGTCCCAATAACTCAGAAATTCCCAGGAGCTCCCAAAGACCTGTGTGGCTAAGGGTACATCTTGATCTCACCACATAATGTCCACCCAAGTCCAGGAACTGCCACACCTCCCCACACTCTCACAAGAAGAAGTTATGGAGGCCTGCGGGCCTGCTAAGTTCCCAGTGCTCCAAGGCCACAGCCGTAAAGTCATAATGCTCTGAATCAGCTCAGCACATGCATGCATCCAGCCTGCCCACGCACAGAGTACAACATACACAACCTAGAGAGGACTACAGCCAGGATGCTGGGCCCAACACTCATGCTTCTGCATCACTTGAATGCAGAAATAAAATTACTGTAAATTTCTCTTCTAGTCAACCAACTGGCAAAGTCAAGCAACATACAGACACAGTGTTTGTGTGGTATGTGGCCAGGGCACACTCGGAGCTTAGGAGCAGTCCTGGCCCTCTTGTACACTGCTGGCCTCCTCACTTTTGTAAGGAAACCAAAACGAGACACAGCAACCTCGGTCACTTGCCATGTAACCCAGCCTGACTCAAACATGTCAGCATCTCTGAGGTCCAGCGTCCAGATGATGACACACAGCTACCCTTTGTGCCATGCCTCCTGCTGTAAGCAAGATCTTTCTTTGTTTATGCTGAGAAGAGTGTACACTGTCACTTCAGATCCCACCATGCCCTAAGAGACTGAGTCAATGTTCTGAGCCCAAAACAAATTCTTGTTGCCCACTCTTCTTTGGCAGATGGGGTGAGGGGGTGTCACAGATTTAAAATGTATTAGCAATATGAATTTGTCCCTGTTGGCTAATTGTTTTTTATTTACAATACAGGTATACTAACTAGTGTTTATTGTTACTCTGTAACTCTGAAAAACTATATACAACACACCACCACCAGGAAACGGTTGTCAACACAGAAAAAAAGACCCTGTTAGTTCACCAGGCTCCCTCATAGGCCTCTACAAACACCTGCCAACCACCAACAGGCTCACATCTCTAGGATGCTATGAACGGAATCACACTTACACAACTTTTTGGCACTGGCTCCCCTCACCCCCACCTAAATGCATCCCTTTGAAGTTGGTCAAGTATTGATATTTTGTTCCTTTTCATTTTTTTGCTGAGTAATATCCCGTGAATGGACATATACAGTTGGTTTGAAGCATTCAATCATTGAAGGACATCTGTGGTCTTAACAGTTCTTGGTAATTATGAATACAGCTGCTGTGGATAGCAACTGTACAGGTTTCATGTGAATGTGTTTTCATTTCTTCATGATAAATACTCATGAATGCAGTTCCTGGAGGTCATACAGTTTTTTTTTAAAGATGCTGCCAAGCCCCCTTCCAAGGTGGTTGTACCATTTTATGTTCCTAACTCCACCGTTCTTAACAACAACAAATCAGCAGTGTGCGAATGGCTCTCTTTTCCCTGTTGGCTCAGCACCATGAGGTGGTGCTGCTGGTTTATCCTAACCACTGAGTATCTCATTGTGGTTTCAATGTGCAGCTTGCTAATGGGCAAACAGTAGTGAAGATCATACCACCTGTATACAAGGGGGCTTCAAAGAATTCACTAAAAATGAAAAGATGATGGAATTTTTAAAACATTCTTATTTGTTATTATGTTGGTGAGGAGTTTAGTATCTGGGTGTATGAGGGCTTCTGCCGTTTTCTCTTTTGTACTATTTTTGGCGTTGAGATTCCCTGCCCTTCTATTTCCTGGAAGGGAGGAGTATACAGAACTGGTGTTAATTATTTAAATGTTTAAAATTCTTCAGGCAAAGAGCCTGAGCATCTCTATGTGAGAGCTTGGTAAAAATAAACAAACCCAAATCTATTCCATATTCAGTGAGTTGTGACAGTTTGTGACTTGTAAGGAACAAAGTTGTCACTTTTATATGTGCAGGGTTGTAGTATTGTTTTTTGGTGCCTGGGAGAAAGATGAGGCTTTCTATTGCCATAAAGCCTTTTAGAGGTGGTTATGAATCAGAGCGGACTCACAGGCATGCAGCAGTAACCCCAGTAGGAGCCGGGTCTCTGAGTCTTCTTCTTGATACAGGGAACTTAAAAGTTGTTTTTCCTTTTCAGTCTTGCTGGAGAGTTGTGAATTTCATTGATACTTTAAAAGAATCAAATCTCTGTGAGGTCCAAATCCACCAGCTGCTTCTCAGAAACCCTATACAGGGTCACCTACAGCATTTAACAAAAACACCAGTCCTTGATCAGCCTTGTCCTTTTTCTTTCTTCTCTTATTCTGGAACTCTCAGATGTTAGATCTTTTGCTATGGCCCCAAGTCTGTTTTCTCTCGGTGGTTCATACTGGGTAATTTCTAAGGTTGTATCATCTCGTTCAAGGAGGTCCCGGGGTGGTACAAGAAGCTGGTGACTTGAACTCTGCAGCACCACCACAGAAAAAAGGCCTGATGGTCTATTTCTACGGAAATGTCTTAAGTTACAATTGATTAACAGCAGCTAGTTGTTACGCATGAAGCATGGATTTTGAAATACAGTGTAAAAAACACATTTTGTGAGCGCCAAGTCCAGTCCATAGATTTTTCTGTTTGTAAATTGTTTGTAAATTTGACCCTTCCTTGCAATCTTTTGTGACCATGTGACATTTTTTGACCTTACCAACTCTTTTCGAAATCTGGTCTCAAAGTATCCTCTTGGTACTTGAGTATCTCAGAATACACATAAATTTACTTTGGGGCGAGGAACAAGACTAATTTATCCATTTCCTGAGACTTTCACCTCTCTGTACACACAATGTAGATAAACACTGTATTTCCTTCCATACTCCAAGGCTTGGTCCAAAAGTGATATTTCCTCTATTTGAAACTATGAATTCCATGCTTTCCTCCAATTTTCCACCAGACACTGGAACATTTCAGCCTGGGGAAATGATACCTCAGGGGTCTACTTAGCCCCTGAAACTCACATGCTGTGTATATTGCAGATGGCTATCTTGAAACTTAGTGATGATACTTACATAGAAATTTAAAGACTATGAGAAAGTTACTTTTGTACCCCCTTCTCCTTCCCAACCTCAATTGCCTGCTTTCTTTGCTGGGGTTGTTGTTAAGTGCCATCGAGTTGGTTCTAACCCACAATGACCCTGGATAGGGTTTCCGAGGAGCAGCTGGTGAGCTTGAACCACTGTTTCACAGCATCTGGGCCAGAGGAGTACATGCATTGTGATCTTACTCTTTAAGCAACTGATTTAGCTCACTCAGTGTCCCTAATACTGAATGGTGCTTCTATTCCAAGTTGCGTTTGAAACCAGGTTAGCAGAGAAGCCAGCTAGTGCTGATCCCTAACCCCACCCAACTTATTACACAAGGAAAAGGCTGCAGCTGACTTCCCTCATACAAAGAGTGCAGAAGACCCTGTGAGACCAATAGGCTTCAGTAGAGGGACCAGGGCTCAGCAGTGTCCAACAACTGGGCTGAGCAAGGCAGGAGAAGGCATGTCCAGCAACTGCAAATGAATTTGTGGTTTTTTATTTAAATGTTTTATTGTGAATTATGTGATAGTTTACATGGGAGAACACTGGTATAATTGCCATGGTTACAATACCCTCCATGCAATCCTTCCCCCATGCCCCCCAGGTCTTAAGCACACACTCGCTCTCCCTCTCTGCATCCAAAGTCTCCAGCTGCTCCATCACTCCACGTCATCATCTCTGACTCCATTTCAGGCATCACTGCTTCTCAGGGTAGGGTCCTGGTCTCTGCTCTTCTCCCTTGATGGTCCTAGGGACCTCCGCTCCTATCTCTGCTCTTCTCCCTTGATGGTCCTAGGGACCTCCGCTCCTAGACTGAAAAGTTAATCACTCCCCCTTCCTTGCTGTAAAATGTCTACCTTTATATTTCCAACCCTCACAATCAGTCCTGATAATAATTATTCACTAATTGTATCACAAGAGACCCATCTGTATTTCACTGCATCAGCCCCGGCTAGTCAGATTAAATACTACTCACTGGAGATTCTACCTTCCTCCAGGCCCTCTGGATCTAGGTTCCCTCTTGAAAGCTTGTAAGCTAGTCACTTCTTGCCTTTGTAGCCCCCCACCCCCCATTTTGGGTAGCCAGTGTCCAAGTTGCCCATCCCTGTCTACTCTGTGTGTGGAGGGGGTGGGAATGATTCTTGCTGTAAGGAAGGACTTGTTCCCTCTTTTGAGCTACTGCTTCCATATGTGTAGGTCAAGTTCATCAAATTGCATGAGAATACTTTTTTTTTTTCCCTCTTCTTTTTACTTCTGGTTGAGCTTCTGATCATCCAGTTATTGAAGCCAGGACAAGTGGGTATTATCCGCAAGTGTGGGTGCTCTTATGCATATGCTTTCTCTTCTCAGCTGGACGCTTCACTCTCCACTCTGGTCCTCTGTGACTATGTCACTGACTCTGGATCCAAAAGTCCCCAGGTCTTGCCACACTGCTGGCCAACCAGGTCTTCACCTGGGTTCACAGAAGTCTATTGAACGTTGTAGGGCTTAGCTCACAGCTTCATTGCTGTTTTTCCCTCACTTCCCCT